CTTTTCTCCCCTCCAGGCATTGGAACTTGTATTTAAAACAAGAAAACAAACAGTTTGTGTACCTAAGCGCATCAAAAAGGAATGCCTTCATTGCACATGCCAGCTATAAAAAGAAAAGGCAGATTCTTAGAAAATAGAAAGCCATTACATTTACAATCTATCTTGCCTGTGTGTTATGGTTCCTTTTTTTAATTCTGTATTTAGAAATAAAGATCTTTTTAATTTCCTAAGAATTCAACTGCTGCTTTTGCTCATTTGTTGTCTCATGGAAGTTAACATTTTCTGTGTCTACTATTACGATCGTTTCTTCTGGGATCTTAGAAATAGGCTGATGACTAGGGATGTGCAATAAGCAATAGAAATAGGTGAATTGAAGAATGATTTTCTTTGTATAAATGTTTGGTAATAGAGGGGAAAGTGCAACAAAAAGGAATTTAAAGAGAGAAAGGATTTGAAATAGAACGTGTTAAGATTTTGCTTACAAACATCACTTTCTTTAAAGGGGATTATTTACTGAGCTAAGATCATTTCAACTGCTTTGAAAAAAATATGCACATGGAAACACAGGGCTTCTTTCAGTCAAGTCTCCATTTATCTAAAAGCTTACCTTCTTTTTCCTTTCTAAAGAACTTGAATTATGGGGAAGGTAGATGAGTTTGTAAAGTTTAAGCTTCTCTACTGTAGATGTGCTTTCTGAAATATTAACTTAATTACCTTAAAATCTAAATTCTCACTCTTAATGCCTCTTCTGTCAAGTAGCGGCTTGCCTCTCCTTAGGGATTAAGGGTGATGAGACCAATGTTTGAGTGAAGCCTTCACAGAAAATATGTATGTTTCAAGTAAATGAAGGAATGACTCAGCAGGTGGAATGACGGACCATTCTGATGATCAAGTGCCCTGTGGAGATACACAGAAAAGCCTTGGCCGCTGGTAGTCAGCAGAGATAATGCAGGCGTGTTCACGGGACTAAAGCTAACTACCTTCAATGTAAATGGTTTCTCCTCTTTTTCAGCTGGATATATTGTTTTTTTCACATTTTGCTCTAAATTAACATAAAATGTGGCTGCATATAGACACACTGTTGTGATAAATCTCAAAATGGCTCTATTATTCTGCCAGGTGAGATAATTTGAGATGGGTTAGATATTTCACTTTTTAAAATATATTTTGAATTTCTTTCAGAACATAGGGGATGGAAGGAGACTGGAAAATGGGAGATTTCCTAAACCTTAAATGTCATCATTCTTAGAAAAAGGAATAAGCTTACCCCCCCAAAGTTTTTCCAAGTGAATAGCCCAGATGATGATGGCAGTGGGAAGCCTTTCTCAGCAGGGAGAGGAAGATAGCTGTCATCTTCATGTAATCTGACATTCTTAAGCAATGGTCTTGTATTACATCCAGTCTGATTTGATAATGAACTATTGCTGAAATTGAGATGCAGCTCTTGCCCGCTTTTTTCCGATCACATCTTGCAGTCTAGCAGTAATGTAGTGAACCAGCTTCTAAGAGGAAGCTCATCTATATTTTTGGGAAGTGATTTCTCTTGGGCAAGTAGGCTGGTTCCTGATAACTAGATCCAATGCGGTCAGGAACAGCGAGTGTTCTTGCTGAGGAACATTTTCCTTCCTCTTGAAACGAAAGCAGTGTACAGGTTGGTGTTCGTCCTTGCCCAGGACGCAGTTGAGGTCCAGACCAGAGATACTGTTCTGATGCACGCCACCTCTGACAGCCGCGTGTCGGAGATGTGATCCTCTGGGCTTCTAATTCTGACTGGCTGTCCGAAAACAGGCTAGGGAATAAATATTTAATTAAGGGAGGCTCCATGGAGTCCTTAGTGTGGTGGGAGTTTCCGTCTTTAAATTGCTGAATGCTGGTTCAAGGCATTTTATCAACAGTATGGCAGAAGCAGTGGCACTGTACCAAAAGCCTTGCTGCTGCTGAGGGTGAGCATTTTGGCTGAGAACTGCCATCATTCCTAAGACACTTCTCCTGTTTCTGTGAAGCACTGACTAGGAGAAGCACCTCTCAAAAAGAGAAGTGATGGTGCGTTATTCAGATACTCCTATGGACTGTAATACTTAAGGGGGAGAAGGAGGGATGAACTCCATAGTGCAAAGGGAGAATTAAGAAGGCGCTGCTCTGAGCAGCTCAGAATGAATTCCCAAAGGGAAGGAAATTCAAGACAGTTAAATTTGACAGTTTCCCTGTCCCACTGTGAAGCTGAAATACGAGAAAGTAGCACGCAAGCGATAGGTAGATGTAAGGTGTGAATTATGGGTAAAAGGATCGCTATGGGCTCGTTCAGTCCTGTGCATAAACAATACCCGTTTAGACGTCTACTAAAATGCAATAGTAGAAGAGTATTTTTAATGCTGAAAAGTGTGTTTTGCTCAGAGTACTTGTAGCCTTGATCAAATGCCCCGCAGTTCCTAAACTGGTCATTAATGTTACAATAAGTACATTTGCAAGACTGAGGTCACTTAACAAAGTATAGGGAAGAGTAGGTGCAGTGTTTCTTCCTTTGTAAAATAATTTCTACAACTTGCAGTTGTTAAAGACTATAATCACCAGTTTTCTAACGGGAAAATTCATTTAAGGCAGCGCTTTGGCAGGTTGTTCATATTTTGTGGAAAGATCTGTCTTCCAGATTGCTAATGAATGGCCAAGCAAGTATCTAGATAGTTAATAATACTGCTTAATTGCCACAGTCAGATAAAGCTGCCATCTAATTTATTGCTGTTCTGAGCGTCTGAACACTAAAAGAATGATAAACCATGAGAAAGCCTTATGAGATGGTTGGTTAGTTGAAGTCATTGCCTGCAGTTTTATACATTTCTCTTTCCAGCAGGTGATCCTTCTAAGATTTCCCTGCTTTGGCAGAAAATCAGACACACGGTCATACCCCCTGCTGCCCCCGCTTCCGCTAGGCAGCTGTTTTCAAAGTAATACACCTTCCCAAGGCACTGCGCAGCCAAGGGTTTCTTCCTGGGTTGATGTATCCATAGTGCGCTAGAAAAGGATGTTGTCTTTTCCTGCATACGCCTGTCAGAACATAAATACATCCACAAATGTGTGTCAGTCAGACATCTGGACAGTGTATAACTTTTCAACGTGGATGGAAAGAAGTGACGTGCTGCACAGAGCATGCCGCAAAGGAAAAGACTGCTGATCTGGGCAATCGGTTGATTTCATCCAAGTGATTATCAGCAGACACAAACTTCACTTAAGGATTAAATGATTTTTAGGAAAAAAGCTCTTTGCAGGTGATGGAATGGATGAAGAAATAATGTGTGACACGGAAACCTGACTCTGTCAGTCCTGCAGCGGGATAGGCCTTGGTTGTAAGCGGGTTAAACAAAATTGTCTTATAGTGCCTGTTCACTTGACAAGTAAAATCCCAGGGCTCCCTATCCGGGAATGAAGACAAGTATTCAGGGTAAATACCAAGAAAAATGTTAGGATTCTGCTTATGAAATTAAGGATAAATCCTGTACCATGCAGTACAGGAGGACTCGGTCCATGCTCAGGACCTTTGCATGAATTAATTGCCTTTATCTGGGAATTAATGGAAAAGAAGTTCATGGGCTTTTCCACTGTATGTGCTATTAAGCTGTCTGGAGACAGTTATGGCCTTTTTCAAATCTGCATCCCTCTGACAGTAGTAAATTCCCGTGTCACCACTCAGGAGCAAGTAGACAACAGAGGTGAAAAATTATGCTAATGAATTGCAATAACCAGTCGCTTTTTATGAGAGCGCTTATGCGTAAGATCCTGAACCCAAAGTGTTACATTACCTTGTACAGCTTTTCATTGGTAAACTATAGCAAACTAAACGCAGCTCGCAGTTAAATACAGCTTTATATTTCTGAAGAGGCCCTTTGGAACAAAGTGAAGTATACGGGTAAAATTGTTAAAGCGTTAGATAAGGTTCTCGGGTTACCATGGTTACTTGAAAATTTTGCATTGTATCATAGATTAGGATGCATAGGATGAAGTAGCCAAAACAACTAGGAAGTCCAATGCATATAAACTACGTTTCCAAACCACACAGCGTTGCCAAATAGAAAGACAAATAGCTCAGGATATTGGCTGCTGACAAATCTATGAATCAATAAAGAGAAGCCTGAAGGAGATTTAGAACATATGTGATTTGAAATCCCGCTTGGTTTTGGAGTTACAATCTTAATTTTTAAAGACAAATGAAGGAAAAAAAAAAAAAAAAAGAAAAGAAAAATCCTCAGTAACGTAAAGAGTGGAATGATTTTCCATAAGCTCTTTCTGATATTGAAATCTGACGTTTGGCTTTGAGACCTTCAACAAAGAAGGTTGATGAAACATGGATAATACATTTCGTGCACTTAGGCTGGCAGTAGCACTTACACTGGAAGCAGTTTATTCCCATGGAAACCTATTTGCATTTGGGCCAGAAGTGACTTTTTTTCCCCCCTCTGTTAGAGCTGCTGTTGTTTTAGCATAATATAATTGCTGTATATTGACAGCAAATTTGAAAAAAAAAAAAAAAAGAAAAGAAAAATCCTCAGTAACGTAAAGAGTGGAATGATTTTCCATAAGCTCTTTCTGATATTGAAATCTGACGTTTGGCTTTGAGACCTTCAACAAAGAAGGTTGATGAAACATGGATAATACATTTCGTGCACTTAGGCTGGCAGTAGCACTTACACTGGAAGCAGTTTATTCCCATGGAAACCTATTTGCATTTGGGCCAGAAGTGACTTTTTTTCCCCCCTCTGTTAGAGCTGCTGTTGTTTTAGCATAATATAATTGCTGTATATTGACAGCAAATTTGAAAAGTATTTTTAAAATGTTGAGTAGCTGAGCATATATATAACAGAGATGTAGTCTGTGTTGGTTTTCTGTGTACGATGGAGGCATGTTGCTGAAAAATGCAGGGCAGCTTTTGATCTTCTATTATTTATCCCTAAAAGAAAGGAAAAAAGTGAATTAAAATATGCTTATCCCAAACAATTTTTTTTAAACAGGTGACAAAAGAACTGAAACAGTACGACAATAAAATTATAGAGTGCAAGTTTGAGAACAACAGCTGGGTCTTCATGAGACAGAGAATAGACAAAAGCTTTCCAAATGCCTACAGCACTGCCATGGGTGAGTAGAATAATTTGCTTCAAAAGTTTTTCAGGCTCAAATTTTAATGTTTTAACTCTGTTCTAGTTTAAGGAGGAAAGGCACTCTGTGTTCTCATTTCTAGTTGAGTCCTGGTTTTCCTAACTTGTTGTAGTAATACCTCATCTTGCAAATGCTGATGTCATGTTTAGCTTTTATATAGCGTGAACCCTTTGGCTTCAGGGTTATTTGATGAAGTCATTTAAACAAATACTCTGATGTAGTATTTAACAGATAATGCAGAAGCAAGTACCTAAGTCTTTGTAGAACTGCAAAACTTGCTCAGAGAGACTTTAAATGGCAGGGCATGCCTTTTAAGTGAGACCCAAGAAAGTTTTTATTTACGATAGCATTGCAACAGCGTCTAACTAACAAACATGAGTTCCTAGCGTTGTGTTGGCTTGTTGGGATGTAACGCAAACTGGCACACTATGAGTTGAATTTGTTGAACAAAAAAAATCCATTATAATTTCACCTCTATTCAGAACGCCAAAACCATTATTTGGCAGACGGGCTAGAAAATTAATAGGAGAAAATGTCATCTTAAGTTGCTACAACAGTCGTACAAACAATGAAGAGGCAAACAAATGAAAGGTGGGGGTATATCCCTGCAGAATTGTGAGACTTTTATGTTCTACCAAACAACATTTTGCCAAGTATTGTAAATTAAATGATGTTGTTTACTTTCAGGTGAAGTATAAGAGTTTGAATAGGAGTGTGCAAGGCTGAATAACAATAGTCATGTTGATGCTGACTTCTGTTAAGTGCCAAAATGAAGTTTAATCATATTTAAGACCATGCTATTTACTAGGGCCTGCATAGATGATGTAGAATTTTCTCTGAACCATTCTCCTTCTGTTTCTGCATAAACAAAATGTGGTCATTTTGCCAGGAGATAAAAAAATCTGGTGGCACCTTAGGGAACCAGCACAGAATGTAGCTGAAATACTTGCTGAGCAGACCTGTTGAGAAAGAGGAATGGGCCACAAAAGTCATACAAGTGCAAGGACATCTCTTCATCACCATGACCTAAATTTCTGTTCTCTGTTTCACCTTATTGTTTCAATAGTTAGTTTTCCTTGGAGTTTTCTCTTCTTTAAGGAGTAGCATATTCTTCTTTCCTTCGTTCTTAAGAGCATATGCAGCTGCACTTTTTCTCATTTTCTCCATTTGTAGAGCAGCTATGTTATTCTTTATATATGACTTTTTTTCCCACCAAAACATAATGAACTTCCTAAAAATAAAAATTAAAGGAAAATTAAATGCTACAGGAAGAACTGTTTTGTAAGACATATTTCAAATTTTCCATGGGAATTTTCAGAACAGAAAGTGTTCCTTTGGCTTTAATTTTTTCACTTTTGACCATTTTTCAAAATCTCCAAAAGTTGTATTTTCTCATTTGAGACTTCCATTGTTGCCTTCTTTAGATCCTTTCTCCTCTGTTTGCTTCCTCTTGATGAAAAACACTATTTATTTTTCCCGATGGTTGAAACAACAACAACAAAATAAGTATCTGTCTCCATCTTGCTTTTGGCCTTTGATACCTTTCAAATTGAAAAGAGAAGGGCTTTTTGAGTGATTAAGCTAGGACAGCCCTTAAAAGTTGATATAGAGCTATACCAGCTGCCTTGTGGGACAAATTCTATTCCTAAACTACTGATCATCATAATGCTTTCCAACTGCTGAAGTCACATACAGTACAACTTTTAAAGCACCTTTTCACCAAAAATAAATGAGATGATAAAAAAATAATGCTTGGAAGATGTGTTATTAAAATGCTTTGAATGGTTCTGGAATTCTGCAGGAAAGAAAGGAGTGTTTTCAAGAGTCAGAGAATTAAATGTTGATTGTTATTCCTAACAATGCTATATTGCAAGTACATTTTAAGGAGCCTTAATGTTGTTCAGTACTCTAGGGGGTCAATAGATTGTTTTGCATGGAAATTGCATCCATGCTGCAGCCAATCCTTACATGCTATAAATTATCCTCTAATCATTTTGTACTTTCTTCCGAGATAGTTGTAGGATTCCTACTTAATTTCTTGTTCTTTATTTTCTTCACCCTCCCTAAGCCTCTCGGGAGGATTAATTAGAGGAGTACAATGTTACATAGGCAAAGTATTAAAAATATTTTGTTTGTTTTAAGAGAAGTAAGCCTTTTTATTTGTTCCATAAAATCCTGTGGGTGATTACTTAACCAACTATGACCTGAGGAGTCACGTTAAGTAATCCAAGTGTGCTCACACATGCATGCCTTGGCCACCGTGCAGCACTATGGCCTTTCCTCCATCATATGGTCTGGTGTGCTAGACATGTAGCTTGCTTGATGTCAAGTCTTTCAGCCACATGAAGGTATATGGGTTAAAAAAAAAAAGTACTGTTCATTGGGGGTTATGGTATTTGTAGTACTTAGTGGTGAAAAAAAAGAGTTACCTGAATTCAGAGGTTTTTAATATTAAGCCTGTCTTGTTTCTTGCTATTCAGATTTGATGGGGGTTTTAAAGCCACGTCCCACAAGGCCTTCGTTGCTGTTGCTTGCCTCAATAGGATGTCAGTTCTTGGCGGTTTTATAGTTGCCCCATGAAGCCTACACAGGCATGCCTTTTGTTTGTTTTAAAAAGAGCAATTCCCATGAGGTAGGGGCCCACTGCACTGCTTCGCTCTCCGGGGGGCAAAGCAGAGACACTTGACTCCTGACACAACCATCTTGTGAGAGCCCGTGTTTAAGGCTGAATACTCGAGTCAGATTATGTTATTTATTTTGCAAAGAGGGGATGAAATTATTGAAGGGCCAACCACAACAAATGGGTTTAGCAACTTGAGAATATGTTCTTTGTTCGCAGCTGTATGCAACAGCATCCAGAATCCAGTCACGAAGGAGATGCTGTTTGAGTTCATTGATAGATGTACAGCAGCTTCTCAAGGACAGACGCGGAAACACCACCTCGATCCTGACACCGAACTCATGCCACCCCCACCGCCCAAAAGGCCGCGTACCATAACATAAGGCCTCGGTCTCAGCGGATAGCATGTTTACAGTTCTGCAGAAGGTGAAATGCAAGTGTGAAGGATGGAAAAAAAGAAATTGGAATTGCTGTAAATACTTGGGTGTGGTTTTTTGAGTTGTGGTTTTTTGTTTGGTTTTTGGGGTTTTTTTTTCAAATTCCATGTATGAATGGACATTGTTTTGTAACTGATAAATTCAACCTTACCTTATGGTATTTGAAGATGAAATTTCCAAAGGTTTAGATAAGAACAGTACAACGAAGTCAATGGAAAGCTGCCTTGTTTATATACGGATCTCTTTTCACCTTTTATTTATAATGTCAGCAATCTGGAACTGAGAAAACATTGGGATGCTGTACTTTTTAGAGGCTGTGTTTAAAAAAAGCAGAAGTGTTTTTTTATTATTGTTATTCAACTGGTTGCGATTTGTCACCCATAGTATAATTGATCATAGTTTCCCTGCATTTCTGAGACTTGTGTTTAACAGCAAACAGCAATGTCGTTTGTGCTCTGTGTTGGTTAAAAACTAAGCTGTCTTAGATTTCACTAATTGCAAAATTAGCTGGGTTTTTGTTGTTGAACTATTAGAAAAGCAAATTCTTCTTGTAAATAGCATCCCTTCGAAAGGAAACATGCTGGGTGTTTGTTTTTCCCCCCCTGTTTGAACCTAACACACCAAATGTATAGTGGGCTGATTTTAGCTTTGCCTTTTTAAGTTTACCTGTAGATAAGGAATACACCAAATCCTTAGTATTAAGGTCTCCATTAAGAGACTGTTCCTAGTACAGGGCTTAGTTCTCCACAGTGATACCATTGTAAATATTACTAAAAACTACACATCACTGTGATATGCAAGAGTAATAAGCAGCGCTAATCATGATGTCTTAGATCCAGGCACAAAATGGCGAAAGAAATGCCAGACAACTCCTGTGTAGCGGTGAAGGTAGTTTAGGTGGAAGAGAGCCATGTCAGATGGCGAGTCTCCCGCTTTAGGTAATTGCAGGGCAAAGAGAAACCATTTAGGGGTGCGAACGAGTGTCCCAGGGAACAGGACACTCATCTGGAAAGGTGGGGTTGGCAGTCCCGCAGCACGGTGCTCATCCGCTGCCTGACTTTCTTTCATACCAAACGAAGAAGTGCATGAATGCCCTGACGGCTCTTGTTGCAGCGCACTGGCGGATGTTCACAATGTGAGTTTTGAGAAGCTGCATTCTGGTTGTCTAATGGAGGAGTTGTTCTGAGCTGGCATTAATTGGAAACCAAATGCAGACTTTAAAGTTTACTGTACATTTATCAAGCAGGGATTGAATTGGCTCTTTCTGTAGTTTACTTAGTGTGCGAGTCATCCATTCATTCAGCAATCTGATTAGTGAAGCTCATTAATTTGTTATAACTGAAATGCATTTCTGTTTAAATGTTTTAATGTTTGTAAGCAAAATTAACTCCTGCATTTTTTTTTTCTGTATGGAAACTTTACGACTATGCTTCGTGGTGGCTTCTCTGATTGTTTCTACCTGTTGCATAAATGCACACGGCATCATTTAGATGGTGTTCTTAGCATCTCTTTCTGGGATATTCCACGTGTCTTTTAGAGAACTGTAGGAGTTATATAAGTTACTTTTTATACTATGGTAAAACTCAAGGGGAAAAAAATGCGTTCATCAAAGTTCTTTTTTTCAACTGTACATAGTTTCTGCATATTATCTATAGAAAAGATATAATATCACCTATGCAAGGTTGCAAAATTATCTCCTAAAAAGAGCCTTATGAATTTGATGTGAAAACCTATGCAGCCTCTGTGCATCTTGCATTGAAACACACAGTGAATTATTTCTTCACTCACGTAAATAATTTCCCCCAGATTATACTTGTCATTGAGATTGTCATAACATACACTTTGTCACTGATCTTCTTGGTTCTATGGCAATTGCAACGTTTATGATGATTACCACCTTCTCCATGAGGTTAGGACATTGCATTCTTGTAAGGATGTGTCCAGGTTATTCCCATCTTTCTCCTTCCCAGCCCTTGCATCTTGTATTTCAACAAGACCTACTTTCTGGTTTACCTTTTACTTCAGAGCTGCAGCACCGCAGGCTGTCTTCCTCATGCATTCCACCAAGTCCACGAATGTGTTGCGGCCCTTGTATTTTGACAGTGTCTTTTTTTTCCACACTCAACTTGAAATGCATATTTTGAAAGAGTAATGACTCTGAGAAGGTTTCGAAGGCCGCGTTCACATTTGATTGTCAAACTCTTCTTGCACTATGACCTGTAGCTTTTTAGAGGTCAATCACCTTTCCTTTTCTGGAAAAGGAAGCTACTGGGGAAGGGTTGCATGAAGAACCTGATGAAAACAAATGGAATTTCACTCGGACCAGATGGGTTTAATGCTGTGAGAAATGCAAACCTCCTTTCTCTGCTACTAGATATTCAAGAGATTGAAGCTAAGAAGCAAAGAAGAGTCTGTGCCAGGAAAATAATGATGATAAAAAAACCCTAACTTGTCTGTTCTTTGGTGTACAGCATGAATTCATCCACTGTTTTGTCATTTGTTAAATATACAATTAAAATTTGGTTTCAGTGGAGTTTCCAGAAAATGTAAGTACATTCCTCTACAAACTGTGTATTAAGTATTTTAATAAAGTCAATGGTTTAAAATACTGTTGTGGTTTAACCCCAGTTGGCAACCAAGCACCACACAGCTGCTCGATCACCGTCCGTCCCCCACCACAGCGGGATGGGGGAGAGAATCTGAAGAGCAAAAGTGAAACTCGTGGGTTGAGATCTTGTGCACCTCCTCCATGGCAGAGTATAGGAAGCTGAAAAGTCCTTGACTTAGTATAAGCACTGCTTAGCAACAGCTAAAACATCAGTGTCTTATCACGTTATTCTCATGCTAAATCCAAAACACAGCACTGTACCAGCTACTAGGAGGAAAATTAACTCTATCCCAGCTGAAACCAGGAGAAATACTTTTCCTAAAGATGTGTTTACTTTTGATGCCTGTGCTTTCCTGGTACCAGTGCAAGCATGAGGATACTGTGGTCTTATTGTTGTTCAGTCCTCCAAGAAAATTATCCACATTTTTCAGAGGTCGGTGGCTTTCCTCTCAGGTAGGAGTCCCCCAGCCCAGTGATGGCCATGATCCATTATGCCATTTGTAAGCACAGTTTGCTCTTCCTGCAACTAGAACCGGAAAGAAAGCAAATGTGCAGTTGCATGAAAAGTTGTGCAGGCGGTCTGCATGGGTCATCCCTGCCAGCTTAGCATCCAGCATGACCCTAAAGCTGGTAGCCCACCTACTCGGACCCGCTCCTGGACTTGTAACAGGGCAGTTTCCTTTTTCAGGTTGCAGCTGTTTAGAGTACGTCTTTCAGGAACTAAAAAGCCCACCTTGATTTTTTTAAATTCTTCTCATTAAGATCCTGCCTCCGTCGCTGGTGTGTTCTTGTTATGTGTGCAATTCCTGTGGCGCTTCTCTTGACCATTTCTGATTTGCAGGTGTTTGAGTGTGAATGCCAAACCAGATCTGGCCTTTGAGCACACACACCTGGGGAGGTATGGAAACTCCCCCAACCCCTACTCGGTACTCCCCTCGGCATGCATTAAGGAAGCAGGTTGATGCGCCCAGCCAGCACGTTGCACGGTGCAGTTCGTGTTGTCTTGCTTGTTCACGGGAGCCATCCTTCAGGATCCCCGCTCCTCAGCATAGCAGCTCCTCGGTTTTGTGCCTAAGATGTGTGTAACTTTATATTTGCATAATGTCTAATGCATAATTGTATCTTACGACCTCAATGTATTCACAAAGGCATTGGCACAGCGAGCTAATTTCCTGGGATTTATCTGTAGTCAACAGAGAGGGAATGAGAGCACAAGTCCAGTTTGCTCCTCCTGCATCTCTCCTGCAGATGTCTGTCTGTCTCTTCGGTGTTTCCTCTCAATTCTTTTTCAATCAATATGATGTGTATAATTTTATGTTACTCCCCTGTGGTATTAGGATTTTGTGAGCACAGTGTTAAATATTCTTATTGAGGGTAAATTTCGTAGCATCAAAATTCTTGCAGTGGTTGATCAAATTTATAATCTCTTTAAAAGTATCCGATTAGTTGGTCAAGAGCTGTTTATTTTTCCATATTGCTTTCCTTTGGACCTCTAGTCAAATCCTAAATCCAAGCAGTTCTGTTAACTTGCATGAGAGTGACATTTGGCAGAAACCTTAAGCAGCCAGATCGCTCCCGTCCTTCTGCGCGATGGCACGAGGTTTGCTCTCGCCTTGCCTGGGGACTGCTGCACGTTCCAAGGTTCCCAAGCCCTGCAGAGCTTAGATTTCACCTGTATCCCTTTGTTTCCAGTGTCAAATTTGTACGACCTGCGCTTATGGCATAGCTCCTCAAGCTTGCGTTCCTCCGTTACACCTACCTACCTGCTTTTCAAGTTGTCCTGCCATCGGATGCGAGACTGAGAGAAACCTGTGCCCCACGGCTGACCCTCCGCTCACGTTCCTTGAGGGTAGTGCTCCGCTCCAAGCCTGTACGCTCATCCCTCTATGATACCAGCCTTGACGACGGATGGACAGGGCAGTACTGTCCCTGTAGGTCATGCTTGCACAGAGAAATCCAAGCAGCATCTACCAGCTATGACGGTATGCATCATATGAGCAAGGAGCCTCTTCCCTCCTTCATGACCCCGTCTCCCTATTTCATGTACAAACAAAGGTAAGTCATCCTCTTTGCGCTGACATCTGGATCAATTAATTAATATTTGCGGTGGGAATATAGGTTAGTGCTCTTTCTGATTCACTGGTGAGAGTCTGCTGAGCTTCCCAACAGCCAAAATCTCTGCTCAGGGCTCAGGCTGGAGGTTGAGACATTTACAAAATGGTTTTCCCTCAGTCAGGGCTCATTTTAATCTGCTTTATTTCAATCCATAGTCTCTAGTAGGGGATACATGAGCATGTTGTAACCAGCACTAGCACGAGAACCTTCCAGTGATGTTGGT